GGGGGGGGGACCCCCATAGGGGAAAGAGACCCCCGAAGAGTGAAGAATGGGGTAAAGAGTGGGGATCCCCCGAAGGGTGAAGAGTGAGAGCACAGGGCGAGGAATGGGAGCCCTGTGGGGCAAAGATTGGGATCTGTGCATAAAAGGGTGAAGAGTGGGGACCCCTAAAGAGGGGGGGCTCCCTTAGGGCAACGACCGGGAGCCCCGAAGGGTGAAAGTGGGGCCCCAAAGGGCAAAGAGTGGGGACTGCATGGGGCAGAGAGTGGGACGCCCAAAGGGTGAAGAGTGGGGACCCCAAAGGGGCACAGACCAGGATGCCCGCAGGGTGAGGAGCAGAGACCCCCGGAGTGTGAAAGCGGGACCCCAGGGAGCAAAGAGCAGGGACCCCCCCCCCCCCCCCTCCCCTAATAAATACCTTATTTACAGCGACACCAAACCCACAGGGAGGTCGCTTCCCCCTGCACCCCCCGGGGCTCCACACAGCTCCCACCCCCCCCGGGGGTCGCCCAGCCCCCCCCCCCCCCGCCCCTCGGGCCCACAGGCACTCGTGCAGCACCTGCGTGTTGGTGCAGTTGAGGCAGCTGACGTGGCAGCACCAATGGAAGGTGCAGTTGCAGCGCTCGGTGACGCGCTGGGTGCGAGTGCGGAACCCCCGGCCGCAGCAGAGCAGCTCGCAGCCGTCCAAGCCCGGTGAGGAGCTGTTGCACGCCCGCCCCGCCGTCCCCGCCGTCCCCATCTTCCCGCTGGACGTGCAGAAATTGGGCGACTTCTCGAAATAAACCAAATCGTGGGGCGACGGAGGTTTGTGGGCCGGGTTTTCGGGTTCCAGGTGGTGCAGCTCCACCCTGGAGGCTCGGTTGCTGCCTTTGTTGCCGTAAATGACCCTGGAGGCGCCGTCGAAGCGATCCTTGAGGACGTCGCCCACGGCTCGGAAGGTGGGCAGGCGCATCCAGCAGGTTCGCACGGTGCAGGAGCCCGACATGCCGTGGCATTTGCACTCCTGGCGCATCTCTGAGAACACCGTCTGCAATGGGAGGGGAAAGGGGGCGTCAGGGGCTGCCCCCGGCCCGGGGCCACCCATCCGTGGGGCCGGGTTGTGGCACTGGGTGACGCTGGGTGCGCGGAGCGCTGCTCCCGCTGTGCTTCACATCCCCTGCGATGGGGTGAGCTGGGGGCCCCTGGGACCGTGCCCAACCCTGCCCCATAGAAAGGGGTGACACTGAGGTCCCCCATGGGGTGAGCTGGGGGTCCTCGTGGCCAATCCACCCCACACAAAGGGGTGACGTGGGGGCCCACGGCCAAACCCAGCCTCACCCCATAGAAAGGGGTGACACTGGGGTCCCTGTGGGGTGAGCTGGCCATTCCAATCCCTATCACGCTCCACACAATGGGGTGACATTGGGGTCCTGTGACCATCCCAAACCCTGCCCCATAGAAAGGGGTGACACTGGGGTGCCCATGAGGTGAGCTGGGGGTTCACTGTGGCCATTCCAACCCCAACCCTGCCCCACAGAAAGGGGTGACACTGAAGACCCCATGGGATGAGCTGGGGGTCCCCGCGGCCGTTCCAACCCCTCTCAACGCAAAGGGCCGATGCAGGGATCCCCAAAGCCACGCTGGACCCCACTCCCACCCCATACAAAGGGGCGACACGGGGGTCCCCGCCCACCCCCGCCCCCCACGACGGCTCAGGCTGCGTCCCCCCCCCGCCCTCACCATGCGCCCGGCCTCGTTGTTGTGCAGGTTCATCAGGAAGCGCAGATCGCGGCCCTTCTCGCTGGAATCCACGAATTCCCTGCCGAAGAGCCTCCCGAAATCGATGTTATCGCTGCAGCCTCCCCAGTGCCAATCGGGGCCGCCGGGGCCGCGCCGGCGATAATCGCAAGTGCACGACTCGATGGAGCCCTCGGAGCAGGAGCGCGCCACCGAGTGCGTCACGCCGGCGCTGGTGATGGCGAAGATGAACGCCGTCTCCCGGCACCCTGCGGGCGCAGAGCGCGGCTCGGGGCGCTGCCGGGACCCCCGGAGCCGGGCCCCAGGGGGGGGGGTTCACCGCGGGGACCCCCGGGGTTGGGCTTGTGGGGAAACCTTTGTGGGGACCCCCCTGGATTGCGCTTTTGGGGCGGCCAACATGGGGACCCCCAGGGCTGAACCCACGGGGAAAACGTTTATGGGGACACCAAAGTTCCACCCATGGGAAATCCTTTGTGGGGACCCCCCTGGATTGCGCTTTTGGGGCGGCCGGTATGAGGGCTTCCCCAGGTTTGGACCCACGGGGCAGCCGCTATGGGGACCCCCAGGGTTGTGCCTATGGGGAAACTTCTGCTGGGACCCCCCTGGATTGCGCTTTTGGAGCAGTTACTGTGGGGACCCCCAGGGCCGAACCCATGAGGAAAACTTTTATGGGGACCCCCAGGATTGTCCATGTGGGGGGATTTTGTGGGCACCTCCAGCATTGTGCCCATGGAGGCAGACAATATGGGGACCCCCAGGTCTGTACCCATGGGGCAGCCACGATGGGGGCCGCCAGGATTTTGTGCCCGTGTGGGAAACCTTTGTGGGGACCCCCTGGATTGCGCTTTTGGGGCGGCCAACACGGGGACCCCCAGGGTTTTGCCCATGGAGAAACCTCTATGGGGACCCCCAGCACCGCACCCACAGGGAAACTTCAGTAGGGACCCCTCCAGGGTTGCGTCCACGGGGAAACCTTTGTGGGATCCCCCTGGATTGAGCTTTTGGGGCAGCCAATATGGGGACCTTTAGGGTTGTGCCAGGGGGAAACTCCAGCAGGGACCCCCAGCACCGCACCCACGAGGCCGCCGCTATGGGGACCGCCGTCACCCTCAGCCCCACCGGACGGCCACGACGGCTCCCCCGCCGTCCCTCACCCCGGTTGACGATCTTGCCGAAGATGTTGGGGCCCTGAGAAGTGGGGCAGTTCCAGCGGCGGTTGCGGAATTGCCACTGGCATTCCCTGACGGCGCTCTGCAGCCCGGCGCTGACGCTGTGCAGGATGCCGGGGTTCTGGCGGATCAGCCGCCTCTGTTTGCGGCTCAGCAGCTGCAGGCCGGGCTCCAGGACGAGCTGCACGCTGCCGGAGTCCGTCAGCAGGTTGGTGGACGAGGCCACGTTGATGATGCCCCTGAGGCACGGGAACGGGGCAGCGTTGAAGGGGGGGGGGGGGGGGGGGCCGCCCCGGGGCGGGGCGCACGGGGGATGGGGGGCGGTGGGCAGGGGGCGCTCAGCTGCCGGCCACGCAGCGCCCAGCGCTGACACCCGCCGCCCATTTCGATGCCCGGCTCCCGGTTCCCGTTTCCCACTCCCCAGTTCCTCCGTTCCCATTCCCCAGCTCCCGGTTCCCGTTTCCCCAGCGTCCGTTTCCCCCCAGTTCCCGTCGCTCGCTTCCCATTTCCCAGCTCCTGTTTCCCGCTGTCCGTTTCCCAGCGCACACTTCCCAAGTTCCCACTCCCCGTTTCCCAGTGCCGTATCTTACATCCCACATCCCACATCCCACATCCCACATCCCACATCCCATACCCCATATCCCACTCCTCATACCCCATATCCCATATCCCATATCCCATATCCCACACCCCATACCCCAATGTCTCTGTCTTACACCCCACATCCCAGTGCCCAGCACCCATTATCCAGCTCCCAGCTCCCCTTTCCCAGTTCCCAAATCCCGTTTCTCACATCCCAATGCCAACTTCCCATATCCCAGTTCCCAGTTCCCACATTCCTGTTCCCATTTCCCATATCCTACACCCCACATCCCAGTTCCCACTCCCAGACCCCAACCCCACACCCCACATCCCATATCCCATATCTGTATCTTACATCCTACATCCCATAGCTCACATCCCGCTCCCAGTCCCCACATCCCATGTCCCATAACCTGCTCCCTATATCCCATACCTCATACCCACTCCCCACTTCCCATACCCCACATCCCAATGCCCATATCTTACTCCCCGCACCCCATACTCCAAACCCCAACCTCACACCCCATATCCCACTCCTCATACCCCATATCCCACACCCCACATCCCACACCCCATATCCCATCTCCCATACCCCAAATCCCATACCCCACTCCCCACACCCCATATCCCACTCCTTATACCCCACACCCCACTCTTTGTACCCCACACCCCAGCGCCCCAACCCCGCCCCCCCCCCCCCCCCCCGCCCCCCGCCCCGCACTCACCACCACCTCCCGCTGTTGTTCACCGCCCTCGCGGTTCCGCGGAGCGCCGAGAGCGCGCAGAGGGCGCGGAAGGCGAGGAGCATCGCGGGGCCGCGCATGGTGCGGTGCTGCGCTGCGCCCCGACGGTCCCACACCGTTCCCGCACTGCGCGTCCCAAAGGCGCCCGCCGCCCTATTTATGGCCGCGCGGAGCCCCCGGCCCGGCCGTTACATCCACGCGTGTTTCCGTTCGCGCGTGGTTCGGGCGGGGCGGGGCGGCACCGAAACCGGGGCCGCGTATGGGGCTTCGGCGGTGCGCGACGTCGGGGCTGCGGTGCGGGATTTGCGGGTTTGGGGTTTTTTTGCGGGGGGTTCGGCTGCGTGCGGTGCGCGACGTCGGTGCGGTGATCCCGGTTGGGTGCGGCGCGGTTCGGTTGGACGCGGCGGCGGGGCTCGCGGCTCGGTGCTGCTCGGTGCGGTTCGGTGCGGTTCGATGCGGGCTCGTTCTTATAGGGGCGGCGCGCGGGGTCCCCACGGCCCCATAACAATGGGGAGCGGTG